GTGCAGCGGCGGGCCGGATCCGGCCTACGGGCCATAGTTTGGTGACCCTTAATCTGGACTATCAATCACATAGATACTGTACAAATGAACAGTAAACTTAACAGCACATGTCACTTCACTTCTTAGAAGGTAGACAAGAATAAGATTAATTGGATATCAAATTAATCATTATTTTGAAGGTGCAAAATGTCAATTCAACATATCCTTATTATGTTTATTTATTGTCACAATTGCAACTTATTTAAACATAATTGATCATGAAATACATTTTTGCTTTGTTACCCCAAATAAAATAACTGATACTTGCAAATTTTAATGCTATATTAATTTATTGATTTTGTTAGTGTTTGTTGGCTACTCTTTACCAAAGAATAGGTTGACTGTCACAATATAATGCCTCCAAGCCAGCATGGCCCAGTGGTTAGTGTGGCTGCTTCACGAATTGAGGGTTGCAGCTTCAGTACCAGGTGCCACCACAGTTGTTTGCTCTTTTAGGCTTAGGAGCATTATGTTGGTTTAGGTACAATTTTGCTTATAGAACTGTGACCTTATTCTAGTTTTATTTGACACTTAAATAAATATCACAATTAATAAGTCATGTAGCAGAAAGCTTTTTTGTTCTCCTCCCCGAGTGAAGTTAGTGTTATATTTAAGCATTTTTATATTTCCAACTGAATAAGCTTTTCTATAATTGTACAGAAAGTTTCTATGACTTCAAGTTGATTGAATTACTTGTCTTGCCAATAACAAGACTGAATTTACTTTATTGTTGTCCTCCATGTATTGACTTTTAGTACCTAATTATGACTGTAATTTATTTATTACACAGTTCTCATAATATAAAGTGGTTTCAAGAATAACCATTGTAGTAATGCTTGGACTTTACAGTATTTGTCAACTGACCTTTTTTTTTCTCGAGTATGTCAACAGTAATACATTAAGTCCGTATGTTTTAGACCAAAATATTTGTAACAAGCAATCGTGTGTCTGTGTGTGTTCAGGGCTATTAAATATAGAAAAAGCGATGAAGTAGGAAGTTCCAAGAGCAACACAAGACTTGGAAAATTGTTCTTAAAAAGTGTAATTAACCCTATATATAATTATTTGCCTTACATTTACTTTGCTTGTTTTCCATGGTCACATCATGTTACACTTCTGTTGTAAAAGGTATTTTAGGAATTGTCAGTTTAAAGTGCAATATATTTTTAGGACTTGGCTATAAAAAAATTTCATCTGGTCAAAAATCAAAGGTTCATAGATTTTAAATACTAAACTATTATACTACACTTGTCAATGAAATAAGAAATGTAAAGAATTGTACTTCAAAAATATGTTTTGAAAGTGTATTGAAAGGTTAACATGAACCACACGTTATTTCAGTAAATACATGAATTGCATTAAAACTAAAGTAAAATTAAGAAAGTAGAAGAAATATTTTGATCATTTAGATATATATATGTACATTGTATACAAGCCTGGAAGTGATATTTTGATTCGTTCATTGAAATTATATCCAGCCATAATTTTTTAATAATTGGACATTTTTTATGCAAGTTGTATTTTTATATGAGATTGTGTTCATTGTAATACAGTACAAAGTAAAATATATCATCATGAAGCATAAGTAACCTGACAGTTCTGAAACAAGCTTTGTTTGATAATTATGGCAAAATAATTTTGTATTTAATTATTTCTTTAAAAGAATTGATGAAGTGTTGATAATTGTATTTGTCACATGAATTTCAGTTTTCTTTATTGAATTCAGCTAGATCAGTCTGTTATTTTATGCAGAATTGCAATTTTTAAATTATATTTTGTGAAAATATTAAACACATAAATATCATCAAGAAACATACTCTAAAGTTATATGCATTAATACTGATAAAAAAAAAATAATGTTTATAATGTATTGTTTCCACAGGTACGAACCAGAGACCTTGGTGGATATTCCAGTACAACAGATTTTACAAGAGCTGTAATTTCTAATTCATCATATTAGTTTCATATGTAAATAACTTACTTCTCATAGATTTTAGTATGGTTAGTAATTTTAAAGATATCCATTTGCAAAAAGTTCTTTGTCAAAACATATATGTTGCATTTGGAAAGTTTATTTACTTGCACTTTTTCTTGAAAAGATCTTAGTCCTTTGTAGGATATGCCATTAAAAAAAACAAAAACAAATCAATAGAGTATATTTAAAAAACAAATAATTATTTTACTTTAATTTGGTATAAATCCACTTTATCAAAAGTTTCCTGAGGAAGAATATTAGGATTTAAATCTTTTAAGAAATAGATAAAACTTAGACCAAAATCAAAACTATTTATACATAGTCAAGTTTGTGGCTTTAATATTGAAGTTTTCTCTTTGTGAGCAGATATAGAAAAATGGTTGTTTTAATATTTAACTTCACGTTTACCTACTTTACTCAATGTATGAATATGACTGGAAATTAAAAACCCAGTTTTAAGAATTCCATGTTGTTTTTTTAAGTCTGCATTATCATGATTACCAGTGATGGTGTGTGCACACCATTAAAGCATTAGATTATTAATGTAAAAAACAAAACTTAATAGAATAATTGATGGATAACTTTTTGTAAATGTAATGCTACAGAAAACTTGCTTTATAATAAGTCATTTTCTTACAAAAATTAAGTATTGACTGAATATGTATTTAATACCTTCAGTTGTGATTTTGGGCATTTGTTTGGTTAATATCTAGAGTGCTTAGATTTTATTTATTTTTTCAGTGAAGTGTATCATTTGAAAGTTATACTTCTAAAAATGCATCATTAATGTTTGTACAATTCTATTAGGCAAGTACTGATAAAAGTCAAGTTTTGTAGTTGAATTGTTGAATCTGAAACTATTGTGTCACATAAATCGCAAGATGAAAAAAAAGTTTGAAATTCTCTTTCTATATGCGTTCAACTTGTATAAATAGAAATCTCCATTAGCCATTTTTTTGTGTGAATTATTTATTTAATTTTCATACATAAAACTTGAAGATACAAATAATGCAGAGATGCTTTTGTTACTAGGTTTTTTGAAATTACTGATTTTATATTCATGATTAATTTAGAAGTTTAGACTTTTCCATTTAAAGTTACCAAAGAATATAAAATATTCTGCTATCAAGTAAAGCAGTGTAGTAAATAGAAAATATATTGAGAATAAAGAGAACCTATCCAGGCACTTATCATATTATGTTTATTGATTGTAGTTTGTTACTGAACATTTGAATAGTAAAGTTATTATGTGTCTTTGCCTACAAAGTACACATTTTGAACAGTAGAGTGCAGTAGAAAGATGACGTTATTGCAGAGATTTTGTTGGACGGATTATAAGGTGGAATGGCATAAATACAGATGTGTGTTGCATTGCATGATACCAAACATGAGACTAGATGTCAGTGGCTAAGTCCATTGTTTACTACACTACTTCCTTTTGATGTTTTTACACACCCAATCAAGACCATCCTAGAAACAAAAACAATACAGTCTTATTAAAGTTATTCCATTTCTTTAGGTTTTGTTTTTAACTATTACTTCCTGAAAAACAGATAATTCTCTTTGTTTAATTTATTGTATATAAAATTAAAAAATGCTTCATCATATCATATTTAATTTGGTAATTAACTTATGAAAAAATAATAATATTCAGCAAACATAGGATCCACAAAATTAATATAATTCTTTGATGTCTATAAACAAATATTAAAAGTATCATCTACATTTCAAAATAATTTAAGTGAATACATGTTTTTGTTAGAATTAGAAGATATAACTTATCGTTTGTATTAAAGAAATTTCATTAGCTGCATATGATCTAAACACTTTTCCAACAATTTTGATACAATAATTTATGAACCGTCAAATAAACTAACTCATCAAAACTCAAACGTAAAATCCCAAGATTTTTGAACAAGTTTCCTCATATTGCTTGTAATACATTATCTAACAAAATGAAGAGAAACTATCCAAATGTATCGAAGTTTTCTTGTATTTTTAAGAGCTACTTTGTCAACTACTGTGTCCAAAAGCAACGAACTTAGTACTAAGAAAGCTATTTAGTCACAACTGTACGATAATATTTTTAAAGTCCTTGTTTTGTTCACAATGCTGGAGCAATAGTTGTGACTGCCCTATAACATAAAACTAGTGGCTATAGATACAATTAAACAAGGTACTTTATTTACCTCATACATGATAGAAGCTTCAAACATTTTTTTACTTTTCCAGTTAGAGTACTAAATAGCCTTAAAAGAAGCACTTGAATATTAAATAACATCATTACCTTTTTAAAACCTTTTAAAAAGTATATTATTTTTCAATATACATATACATAAGCTCTATCAGTGTCACGAATGTAATGTTCTCTTGTACTTCTCTGAAAATGATTGATTTTACACTTTTACAACACAGGTAGACTATTAGGTTAGTTGTAAAGCAAGTAAAATAATTACTTCGTATATTACCTTCAATCCTTCTCCTGACAGAGCCGAACAGGCTTGAATCTGCCAAGCTCGATCCAAAATGGCAGGAAGGTTAAGGCCCTCTGCTAATTCACTAGCTGGTGCAGCGTTTAAAAGATCTTGTTTATTGGCATAAACTAACAGAGGAACACCACATAGTTTTTCTTCTGCCAGTAACTCTGCAAGTTCCTAATGAATGTATAAAATTGGGGAAATTTAAACTAGTAATAAAAACTGTGTATAAAGCAAAACCTCTAAAATGCTATCATGGTTGAGATAAATAATAAGTATTTTGCTCAATTCTTGTTAGAAAGAAGATAACAAATCAGTGATAATTTAAACATGAAAACACTGACATATAAATTCTACACATACTGTCTTGAAAAAAAAAAAATGGCATTTTAATAAGTATATCAAAAACCTTTATTACAGGATATACAAAACTATGTAACTCATTTAATAAATACAACTGAAAATATGCTTATCTACAGAATCATCCCAATATTAAAACCTTCTTTTTGCCTAAACTTCCTGAGAAGGATAAAATCTCCAATGTGTTCCAAAAGTTATTTGCTATTGTAACATCGAGGAAATAAATATTTTGTGTTTCTTTGCAGATGTTTTAGGTAATGGCACTGATGAACATATGGATGTGATCTTCAATACTAAATAATTTTGAGGATAAACATTTTGAAAATATTCAGTAAAATTGTATAAACATCGAGCCTATGGCAATTGACTTTTGGAAAACCATTTATAACAAAGTCAACATCTCTGTGCACCTTCAAAATTGAAATAGTAATAGATGAAAAGCCTTGCTGTTACTGGTTATGGCAGATATGGTGTGGTTAACATACATATTCTTCTTTGCTTGCACTCAATAGTTTCTTAGACTTTATTAAGAAAGAAATTAAACCTGCAGAAAACAAAATATTTTGTAAAGCTGAACTAACTGATAGACTGAAACACTAAATAAACTTATTTTCAAAGATCATCTTTATTTTACATGTTCTGTTAGCATGAGCTTGGGTAAAATATTTCAACTAAAAAAGCTTTCTGTTTGATAAAACATCAAAAAGAATAATGTATAAAAGACAAAGAAAATTAGCTTTTATTATCTAAAACTATGTATTCAAAATATACAAAAGTTGGATTTATTAATGAAGCAAATTCATCTGATGAAACTTAGTTGTGATAATGTTGTTGTTCATGATGTAATTTGATGAGGATATGGAAAAAAAATGGTTTCAAAACTATTTTTGTTTGGACCAAAAGTTTTTTAAACAAATATATTGATAAGTATGATTAATTCTGATTGATATAGATCATACCATCCAACTTCTGAATATTTTTCTGGGTCTGAAAATAATATTGTTATTTTTAGAAGGAAATTTACACTTTTGTGTCATTCTTATATTACAATAAAGTAGATATTTAAATTTTTGAAACTTTCTGTTGAAAAAATAAGTGTACACATGCATGCATATAATTTTAAGGAAGTAGGCCAAAAACAAATATCATAATAAATTACAAAACTGTAATTAGGAGAAAAAAATATCTACAAAAGTAGAGGTCCCACATGGTGATAAAATATACTGTCAACTGAAACTAAAACTTAAAAAATTAGGAGCTGATATGTGGGATGGTATTTGTTTCTTAATGAAAAATACCAAAAACAAATCATACTCCTGATGGTAGTATTCAATATCCCACAATGGTCACTTTACTGAATGAAGAATTTAGGAATCTAAAATGCTGTGCTACATGCACTATTATTTAAGGCCAAAAGAAAGTTTGGAAAATACCCTCCCAAGGCAAATAATATAAAATGTCACCACAATTCTTCCTTCACCAGTACTCTGTTAATACACGTATAAGTACTCATTTTATAGTATTCTTTAGGTACATATATTTCTGAATGAAAAAAAATATTTCAAGCTGTCTTTATAGAATGTTTACCTCAAGCATAGTTTTTCCTATGCTATGAAATATTTACATTTGCAACTACTTCCTGTATGTGCATGGTATGTTGAAAGCTTGTAATGCCATTTCAGAGAAATTATCACAGGTGCATCATCCTGGTACGCGAGATTTCTGTAACAATACATATCAATTTATAAACTTATAACAACTGCTAGTTTGCATATAATTTGTACACTGCTGGTAGTAAAAAAAGAAAAATTACAACAGTTCAGAAACTACTACTTACAACACCTGTTTCTTCAAACCGCTTCCTATCTGCACTGTCTATAACATAAATCTGTAAGTAACATAACAGCAACATTATCATATTTTTAAATCTTCCTACCTAAAACAAGTCTGTAAACATCATGGTTATACATTTAGTGAAATTCAAAGACTAGGGTTCAGTACATTTTAGCTCCTTAATAAACAACAATTTGTCCTGCCAATATATGACAAAAATTTCCTTTTACACAATTTTGTAAAAGGTCTGAATGATCTCTATCTGAGCAGATAAACCATCATAACAATAAAAAAATTAAGATCTGGTTTTTTATATAAAATTAAGAGCTTTTTATGATTAAACAACCAATATCAAATTGAGACTTCTTTAGTCAAAAAAAAAAGTTTACACTGAAAAACCATCCAATTTCAAACTTTTGTTTATAGATAAAATAATCAAATCTAGGAAATCTTGGTAAATAAGTGTGTGTGCATGAACTTCTGATGACATATAATAAGAACAATAACTGTTGATAGTATTAACTTTTGTTCTGTTGACTAAACTCTTAACTACCATGTTAACCATGAAACTATACATATTATCATTTTTAATATACAAAGTGTATCTTCACAACATTTAGAAGTTTCTTGTAAACATCACAAATCCCTTGTACACAAAAAAAATCAGATTTTTAATTAAAGATTTGTCTATGAACTTATGGAGCTACAGTCTGGCACAGACTCTTGACTAGTCTCAGTGTAAGGTGATTTTCATGTTAAGGTTAATTTTCTCATCTTACAGTTTTCAAATTTCATTTGCATAATCTCTAGAACCTCCTAAATAAATATCAAAAGTTTTTTTCCAGAAAAACTATATTTTATTTGTTACTTTCTCTATCCTAATACTGTACAGTTTTCACCCATTTTAGTGACCTTGTAACCATCACAAAAAATGACTAAACTACCCTTTTTTCTTTCTTTCTAGAATGCCTGCAGATTGTAAGAGAAAATTACAATTATTTATCCTAAGTAACCTCATGCTCTTAACAGTTTACATCTAATTTTATTTTACTGTTTTGTTGCCCTATGAACTGTCTAACCTGATCAAGCAAATAGTTAAAGTTATGGTAAAACAAAGTCTGAATTATGTAATTCAAATGCAGCTTTCATGCATACCCCACTGAGAAATTTTTATGTTTAATTCTTTTTTCATTTATGTTTTCTTATATAACCCAATAGGTTTCTAATTCCTATATTTTAGTTAGTTTTATAACAATAAATAAAAATATATATACCATATTTTTTGGTGTATAAGACACTTTTTTAC